TTGTGAGGCAGGCGGCGGGACCACTGAGATAAATCCCCAGCCCTGTTCAAACGCTTTTTAATAAGATGAGACCCCAGTTGTTGATTCTTTGTATCATTTCCTGTGTAATCTTGGTTTTGCTCATAAAGTCTTTGCCTACATTTATATCTTCAAGAGTTCTACCAATTCTTTCTTCCAGCAGATTTAGTGTTTGTTTTAATATTTAGCTCTTTGATCCATTTCAATTTTAGTTTCATAAATGGTGAGAGATATGGGTCTAGTTTTAATCTTCAGCATGTGGAAAGCCAGTTTTTTCAGAATCATTTAATAAAGAGGCTATCTTTCTTCCAGTAAAGGTGTTTGGCCCCTTTGTCAAAGATAAGGTGGCTGAGTGTGTTTGGAGCTGTTTCTGCACCTTCTTATCTATTCCATTGGTCCTGGGATCTGTTTTTTTGTTGTCATTTGTTTTTGCCAGCACCATGTTGTTTTTATCACAGCCCCTTTGCAGTATAATTTCAAGCCAGGGGTTGTGATGCCCCCTGCCTTGCCTTTCCCTTTGTGCCTTTGTTGCACAGAACTGTTCTTGCTACTCTAGCTCTCTTCTGATTCTGATTGCATTCTCTAATTCTGTGAGGTATCCTATTGGTATTTTGATGGGGATTCCATTAAATCTGCATAAAAATTTTAAGAGTATGGCCCTTTTCACACTCCTGAAACATTTCTGGAAATCTCTGCAGTAGGCTCTAGTCTCCTACTCAGTGTACAATGCAGGCCTTAGGGAAAAAAAATAAAAGACAGAACTAAGAGGCAGAAAGTGGGGTGTCCCCAACCAATGCTGGTGCAACCGACAGAGGCACTGGCCAGTCCAAGCCACTGATTTTTATTGGAATCATTTGGGGTAAAGGTGAGCTATGTGCAAGGGCAGGAGTACTGGGAGGACATGCTGTTGTGCAGTTTCTATGGAAATTAATGTAAACAAGGCTTGTAAGAGACAAGGCATTTTCAATTTAGGAACAGAATAGACAAAATATACAGTTGTAATTAGAACATTGTCCTTCAAATAAGGTTTTAGTTGTGGGAAAGGAATTTGGGTGCAAGTGACTCTGACCTCGGCATGTAGGCTTCGGCTGGACTCTTTTCTATGAACAAGCCAACTGTGGGGTTAACTCCTCACAGCCTGCTTTGGGTATAACCACCATTGCAGTCTCCCTCGATATTGTTTCTTCTTATCCAAGAGCAAGGGACATCTTCCCATTTTCTGATATCCTCTTCAATCTCCTTTTTCAGCATACTGTAGCTTTCAATGTGAAGATCTTTTATTTCCTTCATTAGATTGATTCCTGTCTTACTTACTTTTCTTTCATTGCTGAGACAAAATACCCCAACACCCAAAATTAAAGGGGGAAAGGTTTATTTAACTCAGTTTGTACAGGCTTCGGTCCATAATCAGGTGGCTCCAAGGCAGGGTGGCACATGCAGAGGAGCAACAGTTTATGGCAGCAGAAGACAGCAAAGGCCTCCAAGAATGCTTTATAGAGAAAAATCACAAGGTGAGTGCAACATGGGTCAAACTATAATCAACCAATAGGATTACAAGTATAGCTGCTTAGCTAATGTCGATCCAATAGGAAAGCAAGCCTTATAGCAAGGGTATGTGGAAAGTACAAAGGCATTTTTGGGAAGGGATGGGTCCAGATGCTGTGGTCACCCACTTCAGGGTAACTGATGTCTATCTGGTTTTTCTAACCAGGTGGTGCTAATTACAGTATAATCTCAAGTTATTGTTTGTCCCTTAGGAAAGCATGTAGATCTGGCCGTTGCATCTTTATCCTGGGGGCTGGCCTTCTTCAGATGTGCCTCCAGCCACATTTCTGATGTGTCCTCACCTTCTGCACTGACACCTTGAGGGAGGGCCCAGCCCTGCCTAACGGCCTATTAGTTTCTATCTAACTTAGCTGCCTATACCTCTATATCTCTTTCTTTCTTCCTTCCTTCTTTCCTTCCTTCTTTTCTCTCTCTCTCTCTCTCTTCCCTTCTGTCCAAGGGATCGAACTCAGGACCTTGAGCTTGCCAGGCAGGTGTAGTGCCACTGAGCTACATCCCTGGCCCTTAGCTGCCTAGAATAGAAGGACCTGCACTGGTTTAATGCTCTACCATCATCATCTTGAAATTCTTTCTTTCCTCCTTTGTTTTGTTTGAGAAAGTGTCTCACATGTAGCCAGGCTGGCCTTGATCTCCTTTGACCCTCCTGCCTTAACCTCCTCAGTGCTGGGATTGCAGATGTGCACCACTACGCCCAGCTTCAATAACTTTTGAACCAGGGGCTCTATGTTGGCTTGGGGCTGAGGGTTACTTCCAGCCAGGGAAGCCTGGAAAGATCTCAGGCAGCAGTGACATTTGAGCCAAGACCTAGTGGAGGTGGGTGGAGAGTGGGCCTCCCACATAGGGAAGGGGGGCTGGTGAGATGTCACAGCTGAGTCGTGGGGGTGAGAGGATGAAGTCACAGCAGTAATGAGACCCGGTGAGGGCTGAGGCAGCCATTGTGAGAAAGTGAGATTTTTATCTAGATATGCGTGCATTTCCCCCCAGCAGTGACGCAGGCCTCAGCAAACACTCACCATCCCACATAGTTTCTGTGGGGCAGGAATTAGGGAGGGGTCAGCTGTGTGGGCCTGGCTTGGATTTCTCAAGACATTGCAATCAAGATGTGCACCAGGGATGGGCATGGTGGCCCGCCCTGTAGCCCCAGCACCCTGGGAGGCTGAAGCAGGAGGGTTGAAAGTTCAAGCCCAGCCTGGGCAAATTAGCTATTTAACTCACCTTGTCTCAAACTAAAAAGTAAAGGGCTGCAGATGTAGCTCAGTGTGAAGGCCCTGGTCTCAATCCCCAGTACAAAACAAACAACAAATGCAACACACATGAAATTTACCATTGCAAGCAAGCATTTAAAGTGCACCACGCCAGCATTATGTAGGTGCACTGCGTTTTGCAACTGTTGCCACTATCTTGGTCCAAAACTGCATCTTCCCAAAAGGGCTTCTGCGTTGCTGATGGACACTGGGATGTTTTCAGTTTGTCACTGTTACAGCACAGTAGTGAGGATTTTTGCACTTAGCTCTTCCCTCTATGTGAAAGTTCATGAATTTTCACCCCTAAGTAGGAGGGCTGTACTTTTTTTTTCTTTTTGGTACTGGGGGTTGAATTCAGCCAAAATATGGAACTAACACCAATTTCTGTCAACTGATAAGTGAATAAACAACATGTGATATATGCATGCGATAGGGCATTAGCCATATGAGGTTTTTTTGCCTTTCGGTACTAGGGATTGATTTCAGGGGCTTTGCACTGAGCTTCATCAACTCCTTTTTTCTTTTTTTAAATCTTTACTTTTGACACGGCTTCTTGCTAAGTAGCTAACCTGGCTAGGCATGGGCATGGTGGCGCATGCCTGTAATCCTAGCACTCAGGAGGCTGAGGCAGGAGGATTGCCGTGAGTTCTAGGCCAGCCTGGGCTCCATAGGGAGTTCAAGGCCAGCCTGAACTATATAGCAAGATCCCGTCTCAAAAAAAAAAGTAGCTAAACTGCCCATGTTGGGCTTCAACTTGTGATCCTCCCGTCTCAGCCTCCCAGAGTGCCAGGATCACAGGCTTGTGCCACCATGCCCAGCTAGCAGAGCTGTCCTTTTAAGTGTCAGCCATGCTGCTATGACTTTTCTGGCAGCTGAGCTCTTCCTTGAGTCTTGCAGGTCTCCCTTGCCTGGGTAAAGCCGCTTCTCCCCTCTGGAGCTGGCGCCCTGTCTTTCGTAGGCAGGGGTTGCCCTGTCACCTCACCTGAGTCCCCTCTGTCAGCACTAGACCTGACCGCAGTGACAGCCCTGGACATGTGGTTACCTTAGGCTGGAGGGTCTTAGACCTCAGCAGGGATTAGGGAGGTGCCCATGGGAGCCACGGGGTGGTCTTTGTTTGCTAAATGCGAGCCTGAAGCCCAGAGATGGCAAGCCGCTTCCCCAAGACCACAGAGCAGCACGGGACAGCCAGCCTTCTCCCCACTGGCTGGTCACCCACCATGGCATGCATTTCAACAAAGCCCTCGTGCCACGCACGGGGCTTCAGAGCACCGAATATACAGCTGAGATGGAAGCAAAAACAAAGACCGCCTGCTCTGAGCGTGGAGCGTGTTGTTCTGGACGTAATGATGACGAATCGCTAATGATGTTTGCCTCCAGGATTGAAGCAGGGTCGTGATCTTAATTGGAGACGGTCCGCCAGCGGAGCGCCCTCTAAGTCAGAGCCTGTCTCCAAAGCCCCTGCTTCTCAATCTGTCCTCTTTCCGACCGGCTTTTACGACAAGAAAGCCCCCACAGAGTCCTTGGGGATACCTATTTCCAAAATGAAACGCGGTAATGGTAGAGGGAGGGAAGAGGACCCCTTTGTAGCTAGGCAGGGCTGTCAATAAAGTTTTGTCGCCTTGGTAACTGCATGCCGCGAGGGGCGGGAGCGAGGGAGGCGCGAGTGCCTCCTCCCCATCCCCCCTCTGGCTCGCAGGCAGGAGATTTCTCCCTCCTGTGTCTGAAAAAAAATAAGGAGGTCGCAACTCTATAATGACGGGCAGAGGTTTAGCCAATAGAAAGAGGCTGCTTTCAAGGCCAGCCAATTACGTACGAATTTTGAGCTGACAGGACCCGCCCTCTTCAACTTGGACCTAGATAACCCGACCCAACCCGAGTTTGCACCGAGAGACGGCGCTTTTGGCCAATCAGAGAGTGGACGTCCAGCAATAGTAAGAGGGAAGGCAGGACAGTCTCCATGGCAGCGGCTGAAGGACACCTGCGTGAACCACTGACAGCAGTTCGCGGCGCTTGTTGGCAGCGCGGGCGTGGCGGGGTTTTGTCAGGGCACAGACAGACTGGGAGGGGAGGGTAAGAGTGAAATTCGGCCAATAAGAGTGGGGCAAACTTCATAGCAACAGAAGAATGGCGGCAAGTTTGGCCAATAGAAGGGAGCAGCAGCCGTGGTGAGGCGGGTCCCGCGGGGCAGAGGGGAGGTGCGACGGTTCTGTCTGACGAGAGCTGGAGGAGGCTTTGGGAAGTGGTGGTGGCGGCTCCGCGGGCGCCTGAGGAGGAGGAGGAAAAGCGGGTGAGGGGCGGCGCGGGCCCCGACCTCTGAGCCCCCTTTCGGTCCCCGCCCCGCGCCGCCCGGGCTCCCAGTCGCCCCCCACCCCTGCTGTTCCCGCCCCCGGCCCTTCCTCGCTGCCGGGCGCCCCTCCCTCGGCCGTAGTGTCTCACTCGGGCCTGGCCTGTGCCCCCAGGGCCTCTCCCCAACCCCTCTCCAAAACCCCTCTTCGGCCTGCACCCCAGAGCCTCTCCTGAACCCCCTTGCATCACCCAGGCCTCTCCCTGTACCCCAAGGCCCTTCCTGACCTGCACTCGCCTGGCACCCCCTGGACTCCCACTTCCTGTACCACTGCCCTCTGGTACTCAGCTTTGCTCTGCTTCCTTCCCGGAGTCCCGGTCTTCCCCTACGGCCTCTGTCCCAAGGGCCTTACCTGCTCTGGCCCCCCAGGCCTTCCGGACACCGGTCTTGCCTCCCCAGCCTGTGGTGCCCGGCGCTGCTGTCTGTCCTCACTCACACCCTCCAGCCTCAGTGCTTGCCCTCCGCAGCACCCCCTCTCCATTTGCCTCCAGCCTTCTGTCTCCTCCAGACCCCTCTCCCAGCCCATGTAGCCTCTCCTGAGGTCTCTGCCGCTCCCCCCCTTGCTGGGCCCCCTGTCCACCCCTCTGCAGGGCACCGATGGCCTGGCACGCCATGGTGTGGGTACAGGACAGACCCTCCCTCCATGTTAGCTTGTATTTGGTCTCATCTTTCATAACTTTATTTTCTCTTTCCTATTTCACCTGTTCTGCCTTCCGTGCCATCCCTCTTCTCACCTCCCCCACTTTTGTCCTCTGAGCCCCACTCTGGACTCCTTGGAGAGGGAGCAGGTGCTGGGGTCTCCTTGCAGTCCCCTTCCTCACCCCCTGCAGGCTTCCTGAGGCAGCACTGGGAGCCTCCTGGCCACTCCCTGGGACTGCTGGGGAGGAGGAGTGAGGGAGGCCCTCGAGAGGGAGGGGGAGCCCTTGGGCCTGTGGCTCGGGTTCCCACTGGGCTTGGCTGGGTGAGACTGAGCTCTCTACACAGGTCCCACAGCGCTAACCCTTTAGGGTTGTCCCCAGCTGCCGGAGAATTAGCTTCCTGGGCCTATGAGGCCGTCGCACAGTGCACTCAGTGGGGTCTTCAAGGCTGTGCAGGGGTGGGGGAGGCACTGGTTTGGGGGCATTGTGTCTGCACTGCAGGGCTGGGGTGTGGAGGTGCTCCGCTGACTCGGGTCACATTTCTGTGGGCTTTGCCCACTGTTGGGAGAGCTTGTTGAGCTCCCTGTGTACCCCTGGGAACTCAGCTTGCTCCTGCCTTCCACACTACAGATGTGGAGACAGGGCCCACCTGAGTGCCACACGGCTTCTGGGAGCCTCCTGGCCTATGCCCAGCTGTGCCCAGCGGCTTCCTGCTGTCTGTCAGAGGCAGCATGGTCCACAAAACATCATGGGGCCCGACAGAGTGACAGCCCGAGAGCTGTGTGAGAACGATGACCTGGCCACCAGCCTTGTTCTCGACCCCTACCTCGGCTTCCGCACCCATAAGATGAACGTCAGGTGAGCAGCCCAGGAGGGCGAAGCCGGCCGAGTCCAGAACCTCTCCCCTTGTACCCTGCCCCTCAGCCCAGCCTCCCTACAGCTCCAGGTGGGGGTTGGCAGGGCCTGGAAGGCCCTGGGACCCAGGTGTGCCCTCTCTCCCAGCCCTGTGCCCACCCTGCGGCGACAGCAGCACCTGCGCTCAGCGCTGGAGGCCTTCCTACGGCAGCGGGACCTGGAGGCTGCGTACCGGGCCCTGACACTGGGAGACTGGATGGCCCACTACTTTCAGAGCCGGGGCCCACGGCAGGAGGCTGCCCTCAAGACCCACGTGAGGAAGCCCTTCCTGCGCGCGCCCCAGCCCCTGACCGTAGCCCGGGGGACCTGAGGTGAGGCTCCGAGCCCTAGGACAGGGAGAAGCGGCCTCTGCCTTTGGTGGATGAGGACATGGGCCCCGAGAGTGGGCATGAGGCCCAGACCATATACCTAGAGATCGGGAGGGGGGTCCTCTGCCGCTGGCCCTGCCCTTGCCTCACCCCAGTTCTCACCCCACAGGTGTTTCGCTACCTCCGTGCCTTCCTGCCTGACAGTGGCTTCACCATCCTGCCCTGTACCCGCTACTCCATGGAGACCAACGGGGCCAAGATCGTGTCCACCCGTGCTTGGTAAAAGGGCTGTGGAGGAGAGAACCTCCCCTGTGGCGGGAATGGGGTGCAGAAACAGGGTCCTCGGGGACTGGAGGAGGGGGAGCAGGCACCGTGTCACACGCAGTGGCCCCTCGAAGTGAGCCATGGAGGTGGCATTCAGAGTCCTGTGGCCCGGGCCCCTGGCAGGAAGAAGAACGAGAAGCTGGAGCTGCTGGTAGGCTGCATCGCCGAGCTGCGGGAGGCCGACGAGGACCTGCTGCGGGCTGGCGAGAATGACTTCAGCATCATGTACTCCACCCGCAAGCGTAGCGCACAGCTGTGGCTAGGCCCTGCTGCCTTCATCAACCATGGTGAGGCCCAGGGCCGGGGGCCTCCCCTGTCCCCTGTCCCCTTCCCCTGCCATGCTCACTGGGCTCTCTCCTTGTTCATTGTCTCTCTTCTCTCCCCCACCTGCTGGCTGCAGACTGCAAACCGAACTGCAAGGTGAGACCTGTGGGCTCCGGCACAGTGGGAAGTGAGGGGTTCTGGGACGTGAGGGATGTCTAGGGCAGTGAAGCTGTTTCCGGTCCTGCGCCCCTGGCATTGTTGGCCTGGAATGGGCAGTCTAGAGCCCAGGGTGACAGAGTGGCAGCCAGGGTCTACTGTCCGAGCCTGGCTTCAGCCAGACAGCTGTGATGGCAGTTGTAGGGGATCAGCTGGGGAGCCCCAGGAGGCACAGCCCTGTACTCCAAAAACATTCTGGGTGGTTTAGGGGCAGGGGAGGGCAGCTGGCACAGAGCATGCAGGGAAGGGGCGGTGAGGGCTCCACACCTGCTCCAAGTCCCAGTATGTGCCTCATCCACGATGGCAGGGAGCTCCCAAGGGTGACAGGCTAGACCTCGGGCCCCCGATCAGAACCAGGTTTCCGTGCTGGCTGTACTCCCCCACCTTGGGCTTCTCCTCTCATTGACGTGGGGAGAATTCACCCCTAGGTCCAGTGTGAGGTCAGGCTGTGGGCACCTGGTTCTCTGTCAGAGGATCCTAGGGTGAGTGGCACATGGCCTTCACCTGGCCCTGTTGTGCCATACGCAGATGTCAGGTGGGACAGCAGAGTACAGACAGCAGCACACGGGGCCACAGAAGAGGTGACGCCACGCTGAGTGCTGAAAGAGCAAGATCGTAGGCGTTAAAGGAAAGCTGAGAGAGTGTGCAGGCAGACCCCTCTCTCCAGAGGTCCATGCTCTGGTGAGGCCCAGCACGCCCAAAGGCGGCATGGTCAGGCCAGGGAGCCACAGAGGCTCCTGCCATGCGCATGGGGAGGTTGGTTTCTGGGCAGCCTTGGGAGCTGGAGCTCAGGAGGACTGGGGAAGGGAGCGGCTAGGGCTAGGGCAGCCACCAAGAGGCTGGCGTGGGATGGAACTTGAAGCGATGAAGGGCTAACTCCAGATAGGGTTGCAGGACAAGGGGGACAAGGATACGGGAAATGATGTGCTGGGGGGTGCTGGCCAGTTGGCCTGTGGGTCAGCAGACAGGCAGGCGTCAAGGGCTGCTTCAGGTAAGTGTTGGGCTTGAGTAGATGGATGGACAGCAGAGGTCATCCCTGTCCAGAACAAGGACTGTAGAAGAAGGTGCAGGCCTGGGAGCAGCCCAAGGTATGAGGAGTCATGGGGCGGCCACCTGGGACCTGGCCCCACAGGCAGGGCTGGAGGCACAGCTTGGGCTGCAGAGTAGGCCCAGGCCAGGGAAGTGCAGGCAAGGAGTGAGCAGCTCGGGTGTGTTGGGGTGGACCTCGGCCCAGGCTAGAGCCAGAGGGAAGTGCAGGTGGGAGTGGCTCCTGCTGCGGTGCTGACCACTCCTGGAAGGTCAGGTGTGTGCTTCTCAGGGACCCAGGAGACGCGGTGCCTGGCCAGGCAGGGAGAGGAAAGGCCCTGCCCATGCCCTGTGCTGAGTGGGCCCGGCCCTAGTTTGTGCCTGCAGATGGCAATGCAGCCTGCGTGAAGGCGCTGCGGGATATTGAGCCAGGGGACGAGGTGACATGCTTCTATGGCGATGGCTTCTTTGGGGAGAAGAATGAGCACTGCGAATGCTACACCTGTGAGAGGTGGGCAGGGCCGCGGGGCAGGCGTGAGGGCGGGCCGGCCCCAGGAGCATGCTGGGCCCCAGCCTCTCGCTCTGCCCATGTCCTCCCTGCCCACCCCCAGGAAGGGGGAGGGAGCCTTCCGCCTGCAGCCCAGGGAGCCTGAGCTGCCGCCACCGCCCCCTGACAAGTACGCGTTCCGGGAGACCAAGCGGCGGCTGCAGCGAGGCCAGGACAGCAGCTGGCAGAGCCTGCTGGGCCCGAGGGCCTGCACCCACCTGTCCCCCCTGCGCTGGGACCCGTTCTGTGGTGAGCACAGCCGTGTGGGGACCCTCCCTCCTCCAGTGTCCCTCCACTCTCCAGCCCTTCTTCCGGAGGAAGCCCTGCCCAGGCCTTGACACCTCTCGTCTCCCTTCCTCAGCTGTCTGCCAGCCCCTGCGCCTGCCACCCTGCAGCTCCCGCCTGGACAGCTTGCCGCTCTGGGTCCAGTGGCTGCCCCAGCCCCCGCCCCGAGTGCGCCCCCGGAAGCGCCGGTGCCCCCAGCCCCGGCAGGCCCAGGCGCCCCCTGCTCTCTGCGAGGTCCAGGTCTCCCTGCACCGCTGGGGAGGCTGCAGCCCACACTGCCGCTTGCGCGCAGAGGCTCTGGTGGCCCTGGGGCTGCCCCATCGTGCCCGCTGGGCCCCCCAGCAGGACTGGCACTGGGCCCGCCGTTACGGGCTGCCTTATGTGGTGCGTGTGGACCTCAGCCGCCTGGCCCGGGCCCTGCCGGCCGCCCCTGCCCCTTCTGGCACCCTAGGCCCCACCCCTGCTCCCGCCCCTGTCCCCAAGCAGGCCCTTGCCTTTGCCTCCTTCTCCCCGCCCAGGCGTCTGCGGCTCGTGGTGAGCCACGGCTCCATCGACCTGGATGTCAACAGTGATGAGTCCTGACGGCCGAGGAGGGGTCTCTCTCCTGGACTCTGGGAGGGGTTGGTTCCGCATCCCCAGGGACCTGCCCCCTGCCCCTCTGTGACTGCTGTCCCCTGAGCCACCCCACCCAGCAGGGGGCCCTCGCCCTTGCTGTCCTCCTGCGCCTCCCCTGCCTCAGGACTACAGGAGCCCCTCCCCTCATCCCCCTCCTCAGGGAGCAAAGCCATAAGAGGGTGGGGCCACCCCATGGCGTCTCCCCAAGCCAGGTCTCAGGAGCAGGCGGAACCAGGGGTGGCCCTCCAGGGATGCCTCCAGGACAAGCTGGGTTTGCTGTGGCTCTGCCGCTGTCGGGGTGGGCACAGGGGGGTGGGGGGGTGGGGCCTGTCCCCCTCACTGCCCTGCGGGTCTCAGGGAGGCTGGTGCGGCCTCATCTTTCTATGGTGCTATCCCTGGTGCTACTGGGCTGTGCGGGGCTCCCTCCCTCCCACGCCAGAGCGGGATATGTTGGGGGATGGAAAGCACTTGAACTTTTTATTTTATTGTATTAAAACCTTGTTATAAGCAGTGCCCTTGGGACTTTTGTGTTCTGCTTCATGTCTTAGGGGCTGTCATTCTGGAGGGTGACCACAGCCGTGCTGGGGACACAGGCACCACAGGCCTGGGCCCCGAGCTCTACTGCAACAGGTTTTGGGAGGCCTCTCTTGAAGGGAAGTGGGTTCTGGAGACTGCAGGGTACGAGGCAGAAACTGTCAGCAGGAATACCAGCACTCTGGGAAGCTGAGGCAGAAGGATCCCAAGTTTGAGCCCAATGAGAGCCATTTAATGACAGCGTAAAAAGGGATCAGGTGACAATGTCGGGGAGGATTTTGGGCCCAAGGAGGAAGGATGGAGGAGGGTCACTGGCCATCGGGAGAAGTAAGTTCGTCACTGGACTCTGGGGGGCAGGAGGTGGCTGTGATTGGGCAGGGCTTGGTGCAGTGTCCTGTGCTCTGGACCCTTCTGTGTGGCCTCAGCAAGTCCTCAGCCAGGCTTTGGCACCCACAGCAGAGCCACTCCTGTGGCTCTGGGGATATTTATTGAGTGGCCGGATGCCCCTCCACATCTGCCCTTGGGGCGTGTCCCGGCTGGGGGGGCGACTTCCTCCCTCACCCAGCCCTCCTGCCTTGCCTCTGACTCCGGGACTGAGCCGGTGAGCGCTGGGGAGACAGGCTTGTGGGGGGGGCGCCGTGGATTCACCTCTGAACCCTGCCTGGGGAGCCTCGGGAGGTGGCCCGGGCGGCCTGGGGTCCCTCCAGAGCGTGGCGAGTGTGCTGGGCGGCCAGTGACCTTGGGCAGCAGGTCCCCGGCCTGAGGAGAAGCAACACTTCAAGGAACCCTGCGGCCGGGACGTGGCAAGGCTGCCGGGCTGGGACGAGCTAGGAACAGGTCAGACGGGGCGCCAGTGCCGGGACAGGACAGTAGGCTGGGAGGGGTGGGAGGAAGCCCGGCTGTGGGTACTGAGAAGACGCAGGTGAAGAGTCCGGGACCCCCGCTGGCATGAGGGGCGGGCAGGTGGAGAGCCGAGGAAGCAGCAGAGCCTGGATGGGAAGCAGGAGGAAGCGAGGCAGGGGGGTGCCGGCCGCAGGTACAGTCCTGGGCGACAGGCAGCCGTGGGGACCGCGAGGCGGGAGCCCGGTGAATCACTGCCAGGCACTGAGACGCACCGGGAACTGCGCAGCTTTATTTGTGCCCAGACATGGGGGGGGGGGCAGGAATGGAGATGAGGGTCACGGGACCCGCCTCGGAGGAGGAGGCACTGCGCTAGGCGGTCAGATTTTGCCTGCGAAAGGCCCGTCCTGGATCTGCTGGTTCCAGCGCTGCACCTGGGGAGGAGAGGAGGGGGCGTGGCTCAGCCCTCGCCGGTGCCCTCGGCCCAGCCGGCCCGACCCCTGCACTCACCCAGCTGAGGGGGCACAGCAAGCGGTACACGCGGAAATAGTACTCGCAGAGCTGCGAGCTCTGGCCGCAGCGGCTCATTGCCTTAACGCAGCGGTGGTAGTCTGGGAAGAGTGGGGGCGGAGTCGGGGAGGCCACGCCCGCTTCAGAACAGGCCCCTCCTCTGGGCCTTGGCTCCGCCTTGCCTCCCTCGCCCCGCCCCGTTTAAGGCTTGCCCCCTCCCTGTAGACTAGGCTCCTCCCATTCCACCCTAGGCCCCGCCTCTCCAAGGCCAGGTCCTCCTTTCCAGACAGGGGGCCCCCATATCCAGGCCCACCCCTCCATGACTCAGCCCCACCCCTACCGGCCCGGGCCCCGCCCTCTGCTCCTGGCCCGCCCCGCCTCCCACCCCAACGGTCTCCCGGGTCTTGGGGGTAATCTGCTTCCCACCTCGCCACCCTTGGCCCTGCACCCCAGGTCTCACCCAGGAAGTTCTGGTAGCAGTTATGGATCTGGTTCTGGTTGGGGAAGCGCGGGTCAAAGGGTGGCATGGTCCATTTCCCCTTGGGGGACTTCTGGGCTTCGACACCCAACATCCACAGAGGCAGCAACTCCTGCAGCGCGGGAGGGGGCTCCGTGGACCTGGGGTCCCCGCTCCGCCCGCTCCAGGCCCTAGCCGGACCCTGGGCCGCGCCCTACCCTCACCCGGCTGAGGTCCTCTTGTCGCAGGTCAGTTCCTGGGGTGGCCCTGGCTGCGGAGTCCTGGGGTCCCTGCCTCCCAGGAAGAGCATGACCTTTGCGTGGGATTGGCTGGGAGCCTGGGAGCCCCAGCCAATGGGCGCCGCTGGACCCCAAGCCCCCACCCCACCCCAATGCCCAGCCCCTCTGGTCCCCAGGTCCTCGGGGCGGTTCGAAGGCACCAAGACGGCTTTGGCGCAGAGTCCCAGACTCAGGTCTTTAATTTCTACTCGGGGGCCTCTTGCCACCCCACACCCCCATATATAAATATACAGACAGCTCTTGTCTCCTGAGGAGGGACCCCACCAGCCCTTCCAGCACTCCGAGGAAGGGTGCCCAGCACCCTGGGGCCTGTGGGCGGAGGAAAAGGGCAGATGAGTCCTGGCCCGCTCCGGGGCGGCCTAAGGCAGGTCCCAGGATCTCGGGGGTACCTGGCCCCGCGGGCTCCTCAACAACTTGCCACCAAGCCGCCGCCTCTGCGACCTGCTACTGAAACCACGGGGAACACAGCCGGCTTCGGAGAGAGAAAGCCAGAGGGGTCAGGGGCCTGGCTTCTCCAAGCACGTGGATCCCCCTTCAACACCCCAAACACTCGGACGCTCCCTGCCACTCCACCTCCTGCCCCTGAAAACCACCATCCACCACTGTCTGGGGAGTCTGCCTGTTCTGGGCGTCCGTGGTCGGGCATCCAGGGCCACATGGCCGTCTGGCTCCTTCTCCCTGGCACGTTGTCCCTAAGGTCGGCCCTGCCCCAGCCCATTATTGCCTCTGCACTCTGCGAAGCCTGCCCCTGTCAGGCCTCCATCCCCCACTAGTTGCCTCCCGGCAGATGAACCACAGGTCCTGGCCGCCCATGTGCACGCTGTGCCCGCCCGCCTGCCTGCCAGGCTCCGGATGCCTCAGTTCCCCAGCGCCTTGGCTGGTCTCCTTCCTCTCCACTGCTGCTGACCTCTCCTCTCAGAGTCACCCTTCCATCCACCCGGACTCCCCAAATCATGTGCCCTGAACTCTAGACGCCTCTCTCCAGGGGGCCCCCAGCGTCTTCCCTGGCCAGCTCAGAGTCCAGATGTGCAAAACAGGGCGGGTCCCAGATATCCTCTCCAAAACCCCTCCTCTCTGCCCCTCTGGCCTCAGACTGGACCCCCCTGGAACCCACAACCCCCCCTGCCAATCCATAAGGCCATCTTACCTCAGCCCTCAGAGGAACTGGGGTCCCAGGACCCCATCCCCCCGCCCAAGCCACCACAATCTCCCGCTGCCATCTTACCCACCCAAGAGCCCTACTGCCAGCGGAAGTCTGGCCTCTGCCCTGTGCTCAGCTATGGCGCCTGCACCGCTGTGCTGCATCCCCTCAGGTCTACAGAGCTCCTCCAGCTCCTCCACTTGTGCTGCAGTAGGACCTGCCCTGTGCTTTGTAGGCGACCAGAGCATGGCCCTGCCCCTACCCACTAGGTGCCAGCAGTACCGTATCGTGGGACCCGTACTGTCAGGAGCAATGCCTAGCACGCGGTCAACCTCAAGACAAAACTTCCAACCGCCCAGAAGTGAGAGACAGGCCAGAGGAAGAGAGAATGAACCAAGTGGAGTAAGGGTCCTCTCCGCCTGCCCTCAGACATGATGCAGCTGACAGCAGACACGAACTGCCTGCCATCTGCACACACCTGGCCAAAGGCTGAAGGAATCCCAGGTTCCCCCTTGTCCTCTGCGCCTTGGTGGCCCCCTCCCTCACACTCTGAGTTTCCAAGAGCACTGGCAGGACGCTTTGCCTGGGCATCCGCGGGGGCCCTTCTGTGGCCCTTGAAAGCTGCTGAGAGGCTGGCAGGCGGGGAGGTTTCAGCAAGTCCTCCCACAGCGAGGCGGGAGGGGGAACGGGCAACAGGGGCTCTGCAGCCCTCATCGGGCTGTCAGAGCCAGGCATGGGGCTGAAGCGCCCCTTGGAAGGCCCGCCTGAGCCCTGGGGTGGCTCTCGGTCGGTCTGTCGCTCCACTGGCTCCTTCATGCAGGGGTGAAACTCTGGCTGCTCCCTAACCACCACTCGTGTGTCCTGCAGCAGGGACAGCTGGCTGGGACTCAAGGGCAGCGAGACCTGGACATCCAGCCACAGGGCTGCTGCCCGGGAAGTCCCCGAGAGCCAGGAGGGCAGGGAAGCCATAGGGGGACTCAGGCGCTGCTCTTTGGAGTTGGCCTTGGTCAGCCGCTTGGCCAGCAAGAGGTCCTCCACAGAGAAGGCCCTGCTGCACTCCTGGCCAGGACCCTCGATGGCCACCTGCTGGGTCCTCACCCTTCTCCTGCTGCCCCGCCTCCTTGGACCTCATGCCTGGCAGGTCCAGCCACACCTCCTCCCTCCTCCTGTGGGCCGTGTCCTCCAACTTTGCCTGGTCCCGCCAGCCCCGCAGGGTGACCTCCTGGGCTTGGCTGACCAGCACCTCCTTGGGCTCCTTGGCGGTGGTGGCAAAGGGCAGCTCCAGGGACACCTTCTGGGTCCTCGCCATCCCATTCGTCTCCTGGCTGCCCACCAACACCCCGGGCACCAGTGTCCCCTTGCACTTGCTTCTCCCGGTCACATCCGCTCCAGGAGGTCCTGCCAGCACCACGTTGAGCCGGGCTGGGGGCTTCCCCTGCAAGGCGGGAGGGCTGGGGGCCGCCTGCGGTTGGGGTGGTGGGGCAGAGCTCTGCTGGGACAGGGTGGGCAGGAACAGAGGCCCCTTCTCTGGGGCCTGGGGACTCCTGCGTGCAGGCAGGACTGTCCGAGACTGGGCCGGTGGCTTGTGGGGTGGGGGAGCACAGCCGGGGCCTTCTGGGATGGGCGGGGGGGAGGTGGCTGGGGACTTCTGGGGCCCAGCAGAGGCAGCTGGGGTCTTCCAGGATGGGGCTAAGACAGCTGGCGCCCTCTGCGACTGGTCCATGGTGACCGGTGCTCCCCGCTGTGGGCCAGCGCCAGCCGGGGCCTTCTGGGACGTGGTGGCCCCTGGCCCAGCCTCGAGTCCACATGTCTGGCCTTGTCCTGAGGACCGGGGAAAGAGGGACAGGGCGGAAAGAAGTACAGGGCAGGGGAGTATGGAGCTGTGCCCAAGGAGGAGGAGGACAGAGTACTGGATTCTGGGTCCAGGAGTTCCTCAGTGTCACGCTGCCACAGGAGCATCTCCAAGGAGTCAATGGACCCAGCCGAGAAAGGGCAGCGCCACTCCGTGAGACACAGCGGGAAGGGGTTGCAGTCAGGCCCTCCTGGCCGGGGCCGCCTCAGAGTCAGGTGCTCAGGCCTGGTCGTGGGAGAGGGGTACAGGGTCAGTGCCAGGGCAGGGCCTGGCTCCCAGCCTCCCCCCTCAGACCCGGGGTCCCAAGGCCCACCCTCCTCCCTCAGACCCCGGCCAGGCCCAGCCCTGTGGGATAGCTGGCCTGGTGGATGGTGCTGGAGATGATGCTGAAGATGGTGCGGATGGTGATGCTGGCCTTCCCTGGTGGAGAGAACACAGCCGGAGCCTTTCAGGGACGGGACCAGAGCCACCTGTGGTCCACACAGGGTGACAGAGGGAAGGGGCTCCTCTCACCAGAACCATGGATTTGGATGTCTCGTCTGTCAGGGTTGGCACTGGGGGCGGACCCATAGGAACGGCACGGTAGGACCAGGTGGCATCAGGGCCGGGGTCTCCATCTGTCTCCCAACCCCCACCAGCAGCAAAAGCCCTGGCCACCTCTTTTCCGTGGACTTCGTCCTCAAGTCAGCACACTCCTGCTGTGGCCAGATGAGAGGCACGGAGTCGCCCACGGCCCGGGACTTGAACCTGCGCTGGAGGGGGAGTGGGCAGTAGGAGCAGTCAGGGAGGTGCAGCCTGGTGCTCACCCCAGCCCCACCCTGGCCACCCGCCCACCTCACCTTGGCCTTCCTCGGCTTCTGTACAGTGGGGCTCTTACGAGGAAAGGTGGGCTCCTCCGTGGTAGCTAACAGAGGGGAGAGAGGAGGGACAGGGACTGCAGGAGGAGGACATGCGGGCTACCTCACAGGACAGGGAGGGAACCCCAGTGTTGGAGCTCTGCCCACGCCCTAAGGGGGGGCCCTGCCCCAGGAGGGCCTGATGGGGCAAACCCGCTCACCTGTCTGGCTGCCGTGGGCCAGGTCCTGTGGACAGGCAGGGGCAGTCAGGAGGGCCATCCCCATCACCGACAGGAGCAGGCGTCACCCAGCCTTCCTCCTTCAGGCTCAGGGGTCCAGGACCTCTGCCCCTTTCCTGAGGCCATGTCCTTGGCCTGAGTCCCAGTTCCCTATGGCTTCCTAGCCCTGCTGCCCCAAGGTCTTTGTGCTAGGGTCCCACCTGCAGGCGCCAGGTGGAGGGAGGCACGTCGGCCAGGGGCGCATCATGGCCAGACCGGTGCAGGGGCCAAGAGGCCCAGGCGGTTGCCAGCTCCTGGAGCAGGTGAGCGAGGCGCACCCAACAGTCCAACAGGAAGCCCATCTCGTGGTCAGGGGCCTCCAGGTCCAGGTAGTAGCAGCGGGCAGTGACCAGCCACAGTTTCAGGCACCGGGCAGATGTGTCATGGATGTAGAGGGGCACAAAGTCCAGCGGGATCATCCTGGGGAGCAGGAGACAGGCTAGAACCAGAGGTGGGCAGCACGGTGGGGCTGGGTGGGGGCAGACGGGCACCTGGTCAGCTCGAGGCAGGGGCCATCCCTGGCCCAGGGGTGAGCGAAGAGCAGGATGTCTGGAAGCACCAGGCCAGGCAGAGAGGCAGCCACACCCATGGTCACCAGGTTAGCTCTGTGATGCAGGAACACGGGGCTCCCAATTTCTGTCACCTGGGGTGGCTGGGACGAGGGCTAGGACCACACCAGCCGCCTGAAGCCCCTCCTCACCACCCAGTCTCCCTGCCCTCGGCCCCCAGGGACCTGCATGAAGTTACTCTCGAACATGGGCAGCAGACGTAGGGGCAGGTACTCGCCCTTCTGGAGGGTCTTCTGCAGCTTGCCCAGAACGGGGACCCACTTTCAGGGGCCCTGGAGCGGCTGGGCTGGCCAGGTGTTCCAAAGCCGCTGCATGATGGCCACAGGCTTGAGTTCAGGAAGGACACACCCGCCAGGGGCCACCCCACCCCACGGGCCCTGGCCCCTGAGCTCAGCCTCCCAGGGTAGGGGGACACAGGCTGTGGCTATGGTCCTGCGGGGGTAGACAGGACTGGGCTGGGAGGAGCCCAGAGGGGCTTTGTGACCTCAGCTGACACACAAGGACCCATCCTGGGAGTGCTCCAGGGGCCCAGGCACGCCCCCCCCACTCAGCCTGGGACAGCACCAGGTGGCCCCCCCAAGGGGGGCAATTAACCCAAAGTGTTATGCTAAGGGGACCATTAACCCAAAGGCTTGAGTCACAGTCCCAGCTCTGCCACTGGCCCTTCCCTGGACCCTGCGTGAGACCTGAACCCATACCGAGCCTCAGTTTCCACAGTGCTCGTATGTGGAGGCCCGTGCCATCTGTCCCTGAACCTGAGCTACAAAGGGTCACCAGTTTTTGAATGAGGCCCGTCCAGAGCAGATTCACAGTTCTGCCAGGCGTGGTGGCATGCACCTGTAATCTCAGCTACGTGGAGGGCTGAGACAGGAGGATTGCAAACTCGAGGCCAGCCTGGGCAACTTCACGAGACCCTGTCTCCATGAACCAAAATCCCACGGGCAACATTGTTCAGTGGTAGAGCACCCACCTAGCATGTCTGATGCTTCGAGTTCAATTCCCAGTATCACAAAAAATAAAGGGCTGGGGATGTAGCTCAGTGGTGAGTGCTCCACTGGGAGTGCACACGCAACGCCCTAGGTGCCGTCCCCAGCGCCACCAAAAACCAAAAGCAGAAAATAATCTCGATTCTATCTGTCCATAGCTGCGTGACCTTGAGCAACAAAAACACGACCCGTTTCCCTTGTCTGTAAAATGGACATATTTGAGGCCCCAAGGAAATCCTGTAAGTTCAAAGCCCCAGGCTGGAGTGTGGCACAGAGCACAGGCTCAATTAGCAGTCTTTTCTTTTTTCTTTTGTTGTTTTCAGACAGTGTCTCGAAGACTTGTGACAATCCTCCCGCCTCAGCCTCCTGAATGCTGGAATTGCAGGTGTGTGCCACCACACCCAGCTAGTGGTCTTTCTTATTCCTTTCTGAGGCTTTTGGGGGGGAGGGAGGCCAATATTCCATCATTCTAAAAATAGTGTTTATTATTATTTTAAATGTGTCATGCAAAATATAGTCATGGTAGAAATTCTTGAAAATACAAGTGCAAACAATAAAAGTCACCCACAACCCTTCCTCTTGTGTCCAGCCCTCAGACAGCCATTATCACCATGTTGGTGTATTTCCCTCTGGGACTTAAAAATCTGTACACATAGAGAAGCCCCAAATCGGGATGACGAGGCAGCTGTGCAGCCTGCTGTCTGCCGCGCCCGCCTGGACAGTGCGCCATGGCTGTCCTCTAGCGAGGAGGAACTTCGTTATGGAGCTGTCCCCACCGCTGGGCATGCAGGTCCTTTCCCACTTGCCAGCGGGAACAGTGCCAGAACGGATGACCTCAAGCGTGCAGCTTTGTCCTTGCTGATACCATCACTCACGGGGTGACCTTCCGGAACCTTCTGGAACCTTCCACGGGGCAGGTGCTGGCTCACGGGGGCTCAAACCCGCCTCCCCAGAGTTCTCTGGGCCACCAGCCACACCCCTTGCCCGCTCTACCCCAGGGTCCAAGTCCAAGTCTCAGCGACTCCCCACAAGGGCCTGCAGTTCCCCTCTCTGTCTCACGAGGCTTTCTCACCATTTTGCATCAAAACCCAGCCTTCCTTTTCTCTTCCCTCCTCACCCTAATATTACAAAGTAATTGTTTAATAAATAATAATATATGCTCCTGTCCAGGCCCAGGGGGAGAGAGGGCCCTGGAAGACATGGTAGAAAGGCTCCTTACAGAATCGGGGGCCCGTGAGTCGCCTGCCTCCCTTCCCTTCCTCCAGCCCTTAAATAAATAAGTATAAATAAGGCACAGGCACCCCTCTCACTGAGTCTGTCTAACCAGGGGCCTGGTGAGGGGGCGTCCCTGACCGTCCCGTCCCGATACTGAAATAAATAAATAAATAAGACGTGGCTTCGAAGGAGGGACGGCGGTGGTGTTGTGTCCTGGGTCACAGCCGGGTCTTCAGCAGCAGCAGCCCCCGCACGGCCCAGTCCAGGGTGAGGTGCAGCCCACCCAGGACGGCGTGGGCCGCCCGGATGCCTCCCCAGGCTGAGGCAGGAGGTGCCAGGGGTGGTGTGGGCGGTTCTGGGGGCACCTGGGGCAGGGCCAGGACGGACATCTGTCAGGAGAGGGCACAGGTTAGTAAAAGGTGGGGTGGGGTGGGGCGGGAGCAGGGCCCTCCTCAGAGCCTATAATCCCAGCACTTGGGAGGCTGAAGCAGGAGGATCGCCAAGGGTTCAAGGCCAGCCTGAAATAGTAGTGAGATCCTCTCACAAAAGCAAAAGTTGGCCATCCTAAGGGTGGGGCTGGGGTGAAGTCTCTGCTGGCCAGGTGAGGGCTGGGGCCTCCAAGGGTAGGCAGGGCTAGCATCTTGGGGCTGGGGCTGTGTCCAGGCTCTGGGTTCGAGTCTGGAGTCAGCCCCAAGATCTCAGGGCTGGGTGGGCCATGGAGCCTCTATTGAGGGCTGGGGTCTCAAGCCTGGGTCCCAGAGCCAGGAGGTTGAATGTGGAGGCAGGCCCCAGAAATGAGGTCTCGGGGTCTTGGATAGGGGCTTTGGAGGTCAGGGCCTGGGGTCTTAGAGGACACAGTCAAGATCGGAGGTTTCAGGGTTTTCTGTGTTGGAAGATAGACTGGGTGTTGGGGCAGGGGTCTGGGTCTGGGGTCCAAGATCTCAGGTGTAGGTTCTCGAGGGCTGGCATTGTGGAGGGGTCTCAAGGACGGCAGGGTCAGGTTCCTGCAGCGCAGGGTTGAGGCTTGGGCCTCAAGTGAGTCTGAGCTTTTCACTGTTGTGGGACCAGAGTCTCCCAGTCTTGGTGTGAGGATTTGGATCCTTGAGTGTCAGTGCCTCAGGACGGAGACCTCAGGTCTTGGGTTCAAAGTCTGTAATTTCAGGTAGGATCTGGAGCTCTGGAGTCCGACAGTCTCAGTGGTCAGGAGACCAGGACCTTGGGTCGCCAGCGTCATGAGGTGACAGCCTGGACTTTCTGGGGAGGATCATGGGGTCTGAGGCCTCAGTCTTAGGGCCACAGAGTCTTGGGGGCCTTCGGCCTGGGATCTCAGAGCAGTGATCTGGTCTGGAGGCTGGGTCTCCAGAGTGAGTCTGGGATGCTGGGGCTCCAAGGTTCAAGGTCTCAGGTGACAGGGTCTGGGGTTCCAGGGTACAGGGCTGGACCAGTAAGGGCCCAGAAGCCAGGCGTACCAGGAGCTGCAGCCTGCGCAGGAGCCGGTCCAGCCGGGCCTGCAGGGTGCCCAGCTCAGGCTCCAGGGTCCTCAGCGAAGGGCCACCCACCCGGCGCAGCCACTGCACGTGTCGCAGGTAGGACAGCAGGTCAGTCCGCAACCTCGTGAGCACGCTGGGCAGCTGCGGGCAGGACGAGGTGTCGGGGGCCACTCCTACAAGCCGGCCCTGCCCGGCCGCCCTCCTGGTCCCGCTCTACACTCCTGGACACCCCCGCCCATACCTGCAGGGCTCCCAGTGCACTCGCACTCATGGCCAGAGTGGGAAGGGAGTCCAGGCTGTGGTCCCCGTCCACGGGGAACTTGTCTCTCTGGAGAGAAAGAGTTGTGAGGGGGCCCAACCCCACCTCGGCCCCAACTCGCCCTCCCTGGGCTCTGCCCTCCAGCTGGCTGACGAGGAGACCCCCGGGACTCACCCCTGCCGCTATGTCCTGGCCCCAGCCACCCTCTCCCGCCTCCTACCAGCTGTGCGGCCAGCTGCCGCGTGTCCACCAGGAGGGAGCGGGTAAGGAGGACCGCACTGTCCAGCTCTGCCCGAGGGTCTGGGGCCGCTCGAGGGGGACCAGGAGGTGGCCCTCGGGCAGCAGCTCTCTCTGGCCAGAGGCTCAGCACCACCAGGACCAGGCGACAAACACCTGGGGGCGGGAGGACAGCAAGAGCTCAGCCCGGACCGGGGCTGAGGGGGGAGGCTGGGCCTGGACCTCTGGGGCTGAGGCTGGAGGCCCGGTCCCAGGGAGGGGCGGGATGGCTCAGGGCGCGCCCAGGCCAGGTCGCGGGCCTCCCCCCTTCCCTCCTCAGTCCCGGCGCGCGCCCCGCCCGCCGGCGCAGACGGGCCTGGGGCGGGCAGACGGGCCGGGCCGGGCGTCTCCCGTCCGCCCCCGGACGGCGGAATCTGGGCCCCGGGGCGGGGCGGGGGGAGCGCAGGCCAGGACCTGCCCCCTCCGACCCGGAGCCCCGCGGGCCTGGGCGCGGAGGCAGAGCCGGGCCAGCCGGGACCCACGTGCGCGGATCCCCCGAGGCCGCCGCAGCCCCCCGGGGCGGGGCCCGAGCACCTGGGTCCGGCCCGTCCCGCCCCGCCCACCGCGCCCGCCAGCCAATCAGCGCCCCCGCCCGCTCGCTGTCCCCCTCCACGCCCCCGGCCCGCCTCCCGGCCCCGCGTGCTGCCCGCGTCCGTGCCGGCCGGCGCTGGCTGCCTGCTGGCCGAGCCCGGTCCACACCCGGTCGCCCTGTCTGTCCCGCCTGGCCTCGTGCTCCCGGACGCGCTCTCTCCTCCGGATCCCCTGCCTCAGTTTCTCTCCCCTGCCTCTCTTTGGGGTCCCCGGGTGTCCGAGCCCCTTGGTACCCCGATACCAAAGGGCCGCTCCCGGCTGTCGCTGGCCTCGGGCCCCCATCCTGTCCTGGGCCAGTCGCTGCTCGGCTTTCCCTGCGCCCTCGCCCGGCTCCGGGGCTCCCTCCCTGTCCCGGCTGCCCCCACCCCATGCACTGGGACCCACTTACAGTTCATGTCCCCAAGCCAGGGGTTCCCCAGGGCAGGGCAGGGAGCCGGGGGCCTTTAACCCTTCCCTGTCCGCTGCCTGCCGGGGACCCCGCAGCCCCGGGTCAGCTGGGCCTCGTCCTGGGGAGGGGAGGCATGTGCCTGCGAGCAGGAGGCGCAGGGAGGCAGAGCGGGCGCCTGGGGTTATATAGGAGGCCGGGCGGGCGGCCGGGCGGGCGGCCTGACACATCCTGACTCACCCTCCCTCCTGCCTTTTCCATTCAGACGAGCCGGCCGCCTCGCAGGACCCACGCCGACTCGCTCAGAGGAGGGCACGGAAGGAAAAGTTGGAAAAGTTGAAAAGTGGAGGGGGTGGTCGGAGAGGGGCTGGTGAGGTCATCGGCGTCCCCTCCCTGCACCTCCACCGCAGGGGCAGACGCGCGCCGAGCAGGGCCGGCGGCGGGTGGGGGTCTGGCGGCCAGGGCGGGCGGAGAGGGAAGGCCAGGACGGGACGCTGGGAATAGGTGCGGGTGCGGACGCTGCAGGCGAACACTGAACACGGGGCACAGCAGGCAGAGCCAGGGAGAGGCGCGAAGGTGGAAGAGGACCAGACAGACACCCGGAACTCAGAGAAAGGGGCATCATGACACTCCCTAGCTGGGCGCGGTGGTGCACACCTCTAATTCAATTAGTGACTTTGCCTCTGTAAGAAGTAGAGAGAGGAATGAGGATGTATCGAAGTGCAAAGGCCCTGGGTTCAATCCCCAGTGCCACAGAACAGAGGAGGGAGTGATCAAGACACTCCCCAGAGGCAGGACCCACATGATGTTGCCCCCCGTGCCTCAGTTTCCCCAGCTGTGAAATGAGACTGAGGACAACCCTTGCCCCAAACACCCTCAGTGAGGATAAGGCGAGTTCTGCTATGGGAAGCACAATGGAGCCACGGGTGGTCACCACCAGGACCCTTAACTAACAGCCTCCGGGACAGATAGGGAAGACAAAGGGACTAGAGGCTCAGGACGGACAGCCCAGCGAGGGAGGGGCTTGGTGACAGCAGTTCCAAGTGTCCCTTCCAGGAGGGAGCTGGGCTGGGGCTGAGCACGGGAGGGAGGGATTCCAAGGTCTCTGCAGACCCCAGGTGGCGCCTCCCTCAGCCTGTGCGGGCAGAGCTCCCCCTCGCTGCCCCACATCACACACTGGGGGGTGCCGGCGCCGGTGCCCAGGGAGGTGAGGTCACAGCCCCCCCTGGTGGGAGATGACCTCATCGCCTCAGGTAAGAGCTCTTCCCTTGCTAGGCCAGGCCACCCCTTTGGGGCCCCGGGACCTCCCCAGCCCTGGCTCTGCTGGGACCCAGGCCTCTGACCACTGGGTCCCACCCCTCAGGGGGCCTGTTTCCGGCTGAGTCAGTGTGGGGGGCCCCCGAGCTGCGTCAGTGAGGGGAGAGCTGACGTAGCCCCCCCAGACCGGTGGGGCCAGCCAAGGTGACTCAGGCCACTAGCCCAGGGGATGGACAAGCCGGAGGGGATGAGCACCGGGCCCGGGGCCAGCCCGAGCAGCACCAGGGATCAAGGAATGCCACCCGCTTCCACTAGGGGACCAGCAGCCCTGTCCCCACCCGCATTCCACCCCCAGACAGACCACAGTGGGCAGGGCCAGCCTCCTCCCTCGGACCCGGGGGCTCAGTCCTGGGCCCTCTTCCCTCAGAACCTTGGGTCCAGACCCTAAAGCATCCTTGGGAGGGGGCAGAGGACGCCTTGGGTGTTTCTGCACTTTGGGTGGACAGCTGTCTATGTGGGGAGAGTCACCAAACCAGGTCAAATCTTGGGACCACTTTTGGTCCAGTCTTGGTCCCCACGATGGGGTCCGACTCTTCCCCTTCACTGTGGCTGCAGGAGGCCTGGGGGAGTCTGGGACTCCTGGGGGGTGGGGGAGAGAGAGAGAATACAAGACACCAAGGGACACAGGGGCAGAGTGGAGGAACCCAAGATATGACAGAGAGGGCAGCGCAGACATAGTAGAGAAGACGGATGGCAGGTCAAGTAGGTGTCCCAGAAACCGGCTGGGGTCTCAGGGCAGCCCCTCGCCCTTAGGCTGGCCACAGACTCCGAGGGTGCCTTGGGGCGGTCAGGGGTCCCGGCTGCAGTGCTGGCGTGGTGAGGTTGTGCTGCGGGTGTGTCAGCAAGTCCCTGGCTGTGTGTTGGTCTGTCTGTCCCTGGGGGGTCCTGTCTGGCCTCTGGGGGTGACGGGGCAGCCCAGCCGCAAAAGCACTTCAAACCTGTCATTAGCGGTGAGGGCCGTGCCGGTGGCCCCCCCCCCCCAGTCCCAAGCCCCAAGCCGCAGTCCCAGGAGAAGGAGCCCCGCCCCTACCCCCTCCTTGATCCCTAAGGAATCCGGGGAATTGGGAAGTGGGTCCAGATGATGTTGACACAGGAAACAGTCAGCAGCTGCCTGGCCTCAGCCCCACAGCCCCTCTGACCCCCCACCCCGCACCCCCCACTGGGCCCCCTCGGACCAGTGTCATCTCTGACGGAGGTAGCCCTGGGCCAGCTCAGCACACATCAGGATGTTTACAAGAGATCAGGGTATGACCAGGACTCAGCCCTGGACTTGGGAAATGGGAGCTGGCTCTGACCCTCGCCCTCACTCCCAGGGTCTGCCTTGGCCTCCGCCCTCAGACCAGTAATCCCTGGGCAAAGCCCGGGTACCCTCGGGACTGGAATGCCCTCCCGGAGCTCAGTGACCGCCGGGATTGGTGTCTAGGTACCAGGTGCCAACCCAGCCCTGCTCTGGGTTCCTTTCCTTTCAAGCCACACCCTTGTCAATTATGGGGAAACCAAAGGAAACAAACAGGAAACTCTGGAGAACTTCCCCTTTCCAGGTGGTTAGTCTTAGGTGGGCACCTTCACCGCCTGTGCCTCATATCTTAGCCCACCTGGCTCCTCCAGGTGGACCCTGGCTCATGCTTGCCAGAGAGGAGGCCTAGCCTGGCCTAGACAAGCATCCTGGGGCACCAGGGTGGAAGCCTTTCCACCAGGGCTCAGCCTCCAGGTCCCTCCTTCTGCAGGTCTCCTCGTTGCTGGGGCAACAGTCCCTCACAATGGGGCTCAGTGAGCCCCTCCCCCAGGTTGCTATGGGGTAAGACTCCCTAGCGACAAGGTTTCCCCATTGCCACCTGAGGCCACCTTTGCAGGTATCCAGTTAGGAGCACAGGGTCTTTTGGGCAAGGAGGTCTTCCCACTGGATCCACCTGCTAGGGATCCCCAATGGATGAGGGGAGCTGACCCAGCCCAGCTCTTCATCGGCTTCTCCTTCCCTCTTACCAGTGGCTAAGGGAGTCCCCTAAAGCCTGAGGCACCTGCCAGGGACCCTAACATCTGGGCACTAAAAGAACTACTTCCTAGTTGGGCATGCTGGCCTGCACCTATAATCCTAGCACTCTAGGAGGCTGAGACAGGAGGATCCCAAGTTCAAGCCAGACTGGGCAAATTAGCAACTTAGTAACTTTGCAAGATATTGTTTCAAAATAAAAAATTAAAAAAGGCTGGGGATGTAGCTCAGGCAAAGACCCTGGGTTCAATCCCCAGTACTGCAAGGGGAAAAAGTCACTTCCTAGACCAGACGTGACCAGGCCAGGGGATCCTGCTGGCAGAGCCCTTGCTAAGGGGCCCCCTAGCAACAGAACTCAGAATCCTGGGGCTGGGGTGGGCGGGGCCCAGCATTGCTGGGGTGATGTGACTTAAGGCTGTCCCCACAGAGGCCCAGGCGTCTGGGGAGGCCACATGGTGGGCTCGGGGATCCCAGTGTTGGGCCTGTTCCTGCTGATGCAGGGTCCAGGTGGTGAGGGCACTGGCAGGAGGTGGCACCGGGCTGCAGAGGGGCCGCCTGGTGTTTTACACAGTCCCCATTATGACCTCCTTTCTCTCACAGATGGGATCGGAATCCACAGATTCTTCTACCTGTGGAGTGAGCAGAAGCCCAAACCCTGGGGCTCAGGGAGAAGGTGCCCTGATTAAACTCTTGGGGGAGGCGGCTGACCCGGACCCCCGGTCCGAGGGAGGAGGCCAGGCCCGGACCAGTCTTGCCCCAGTCCAAAGTGTGGCCATGGGAGCCTGCAGGGCAGGGCCTGCTCGGACCATGCCTGCTTGTGCCCCCAGGCTGTGAGGGTGATGTGTGGGACTGGGAGAGCTGTGGGGGTCAGGCGGCCATCGAGAGCCCCAACCTCTGCCTGCGCCTGCGCTGCTGCTACAGAGATGGGGTCTGCTACCACCAGCGGCCAGATGGTGAGGGGCAGCCATGGGGTGGGCACCGGGGTGTGGCTGGATCCTGGTCTCAACCTTCCCTGTCCGTGCAGAAACCATGTTCAAGAAGCACATGTGGGCCCTGGGCTGGGTCTGCGGAAGCCCCCTCCTCCTGATCTGTGGCATCTGCCTGTTCTGGTGAGCCGGGCTCCAGTGGGTCCTGGTCAGCTGCAGGGGTGGAGAGCTGAGGGCTGAGGGAGGCCCCTTGCCTCCCCACAGGTGGGCCCGGCGCTGGGACATGCTGCACCTGCCGCGCTTCCTGCAGGGCAAGTGTGACCTGTCCAGTACTGTGTCGCTGCTGTCCAAGGACCAGGCATCAAGTGAGAAGAAGACCTCTGTCGACCAAGAGCCCATGGGGTGACTGGGATGGAAGCCTCAGGGGGCGTTGAAGCGGAGGAGAGAGGAGGAAGATTAGGGACATCCAGGGGACCCCTCAGTACAGGTGTGGCACACAGACACGGCGTCCTTTCTGAGAGCCACAGGAGCAGCGGCTTGAGTGGCCCTGGAGTTTGGTGTGAGAGCATATTTGGAGGGAAGAGACTTCACTGCACGACCATGGGAAGCTGGGGTCCTCGCTCCCCAGGAATCCAGCACCCCTGGACAGAAGTACGAACTCTCGCCCCCCCCAGGCTGTGCAGCCCCCAACAAGACAGACTAGCAGCATGAGGGCAGAGCCATTTATCCAGGCGAAGACAGCAGGGGCAAAGAGGTCCTGGTGGCCCGAGCCAGGGGCGGCCACCGTCTCAGTCTGGTCCTGGGCGTTGGGGCCACGGGGTGGTCTGCAGGAGGGAGGGGGGGTGATCAGTGCTTGGATGCCCCTCTGTCCCCAAGCCCTCCACAGCCAGTCTCACATTCACCAGCCTGTGACCTTACACTCCTGGGATCCTGGGTGCTACAGAGCATGGGAGGCAGGGAGAGGCAGAGGCGGACAGACAGGGACAGAAACAGGCAGGCAGGCAGGGAGAGGTGGGAACTTGGACTTTGGGCCCAAAGCCAGCTGTGTGGTGCAAACCTGTGATCCCAGCATTCTTGCAGGGGAGGCAGGAGGATCCAAATTCAAGCTCATCAGAGCTGAACAAATCTGTCAAAAGCCCAGCTCTCCACCTTCCTGCCTGCTGCCCAGGTGAGGAGGAGCCGTGTTCACTGGTTCCTTTCCTTCTGAGCACCCCACTGCAGTTCCTTGGCCTGAGGCTCTGTTGGCAGGGGTACCCACCCAGTAGACATGAGAGTGCCAAGGATTTTCCAGGGTGAATTTAAATACAGATGGCCATTTTCACACGGATATGCCCAATTCTACACTAGCTCATGCTGAACCCTACACACAGTTACTCACCCTGTCTTAGGTCTGGTTATTCCTTAGAGCCACAGAACATAGGATGTGGTGGGACTGACTTATTTTTCTGAGCTCTCACAAAGAGCATTAGATAATTTACATTCTGATGCATAAATTAATTCATCATACCTAGATAATGTCTTACTTTGGGGGGAGTGAGTACAGGTACAGGGCACTGAACCCAGGGCCCTTGCACTGAGCTACATCACTCTTATTTATTTATTGGGGAGTACCGGGGATCAATTAATTTATTTTTGAGACAGGGTCTTGCACTGTAGTTCAGGCTATCCTTGAGCTCACTATATAGCCCAGGCTGGCCTCGAACTTGCGCCAATCCTCCTGCCTCAGCCTAGAGTGCTAGGATTACAGATTTATTTTTATTTTTTTGTTGTTTTGAGACAAGGTCTCCATAAATCGCTAAGTTCCCCAGGCTGGGCTCAACCTTGGGATGCCCCTGCCTTAGGATGGGAGGACAGGCGTGCACCACCATGCCTGGCTAAGGTGGCACCATCCTGGGCCTCAGTTACCCCACGGTGGAACTGGGACGTAACTGCACAGGCCGCGGAGAGAACTGAACTAGGCTGGAGACGGGTGGTTTCCCAAACCCAGCGTGCGCCCCTGTCCCCGCCCTCTCCCGTGCGCGCTCACCTGGGGCTCGCCGGCCGCGCGCACCGACACCTCGGGCCCGGCCTCTAGCGTGGAGAGCTGCAGGCGCACGCGGCGCGCTCCGGGCGGCGGGGGCGCG